TTAGGATAAACAATCAGTCTTAGTAAAAGTCCAAATATTTTTACCAAAGTTATTAATTATTATTATTATTTAAGTATATTAGGTAGGTACTATATCAATGACTAATATATTAGTTAGTATATTATTTTATTATTATTATTATTATTAAGTACTAATGCAAAAATTGACAAATTAAATTTACTAAGTACATTTATTGCTAGTATATTATTTGTATTATAATTAAATTAATTGTATTATAAAATTATTTATTTGTGCAGGCTTGGCTGCTGTGACATCTCGAGTTGCATAATAAATTTTTAGATCGGCATTTACATCTGTTTGTTTCACATTTTTTCAAACAATCACACCTTATTAGTCCTTGTCCACCAGTCAAAGACAGTTGCGATACTGCTTGTCGAATACCAATTTCATTTTCTGGTATAATTGCCGATTCTAAAAAATTTTCTTCACATAAGGTGAACTGATTGCGAGTGAACAGTTGTGAGAGTGTTCCCGCTTTTGTACCCAGGCGATAAAAATCTGCATCCACGACTTGTAACACCTTAGACATTAATGTGCGGGCATCAATTTTACTTCGATCGACTTCAGGAATTTTAATTTTGACAGTTTGTCCAATTAGTACAATTGGCATTTTCTTGTTTGACATTTGCAACATTTGTCTTGCTTGTTTCTGTAGGCCGATGAGTGATTCTTCTCGATGTTGCTTAATTTTTTGTGTCCGTGCTGGTATTTTATTTTCTATGTCCCTTGTTTCTACATATATAGTTTCTCCGTGTGTCTCTACATCGTCATCGATTTCAACTTCTTCATCTATCTCACCAACTTCAACTATATTTGCCTTTGGTTCGGTAAGTGCTGCCTCTAAATCCTCTTCTGTTTGCAGTCCTGGTAATACATTTTTTGGAATAATTGAATTTGCTAATCCCATTTTCATTTTATTCCCAAACGTTGCTTCATATGGGGAGCGTTTGATTCCTGAAAATGTGGTAATTAAATGTATACTTTATCTAAAACTTTAATTTTACTATCACATTATTATTTTATTAAAATTAACTTTTGAAAATGAAATCATTTGAGGCTAAGTCATTGTTTTACGTGATTTCGTAAAAGTTTAAATTTCAAATTAACTTTTGAAAATGAAATCATTTGAGGCTAAGTCATTGTTTTACGTGATTTCGTAAAAGTTTAAATTTCAAA